TTTTACCGTCTGTTGCCTTGTTCCCTCCATTGAGCTGCTGGGGTTCCAGAAGATGCTACTGGGGCGGCGGGGTTGAACGGGGTTGTCAAAAATCGGTACTCTGTTTGGGCCATGGTTTTTGTGGGGCCTGCCTTTAAAAGCGCTCCAACAAGGGGTGCACATTTTTGACAGCCCACCACCGGCATTGGGGAACAATTGCTTGACTGTGCCACATGAAGGGTCGGGATTGATCGAAAGAGTGCAGGCATTCACCAAATTGAAGTGGGATCAATGTATCGGAGCTTGCCCGTGGCAAAGTGCCTGAGCTTTGCAAGCCCCTCTCCCAGACTGACTCAAAACATACTGCGCCAATCAATGCAGGACGGTTTATCCAAGCAATACAGGTGGCACGCGTGCTGTCAGTTTTCAGCCCACATTGCTGCTTGTTTGAGAGCAGTTTGGGCCAAACACGACAAGCGCAAAACCTTCTTTTGCAGCTACATTTGAGTCAACTCTGTCTCGAACGCCCGGAGATGTGGTTTTGATGCTGGTTACGTGGATGACGTGCTGGTTTGAGCGAAAGTCCAGTCACACTGGTGTTTGCCCTTTTGGCAAGAGATGTGCTCGTTGTACCATTTCCAGCGTTTCCATCTTGCTGAGTCTGGCACTTGTTGGGGAGCGGTTCCCTAATTTTGTTGTCGAGCGTCACTTTACAACTCAGGAGAAAAAAACTTCGCTATGCCTTGAGCCACGTTGTCACAAAGCAAGCTCCGACCCAAGAACATCCAAGTCGACTTGCCCAGTCCAAACCACCGTCCAACGGATCTCTCATGCCTCAACCAACTGGAAGGGGCCAAAAGACATGCACCACTGTCTTCCTATCTTCTGAAGATGGCCGCCAGGTCATCAAGTGTCGCGTGGAACACCCCAAAAACTGCAGGCCTTTGTTGCTTTTCAACCTGAAGCCAGGGAACATTGAGAGACTCGCCCGCTACTTTGACTCTGGGTGTTCAAGGTTTGTCGCACTGGTTTCTGGTTTCTGTCGGCTTGATCTTTGCCACGCAAGTTTAGAAAACCAATTTGTCTCTGCTCGCCCGTTGCGCTAGCAACGTTTCTGAAGGTGTCGTTCTTGTGTAGTTCTTGGGTGGGTGGATGTGTGGGTGGGAGACCACCAGTGAAATCCAGTCATGCCCTGCACAACATGTGAGCACCTGTGAATCTGGTGACTGCAACATGGAGGCTCGAACACAGCAGTCAGGACATGCGTATGTCCTTTCTCGAGGGTACCCTTTTTGTGGGTGTTGTTAATAAAAGGAGCCCCAAAAGGAAAATCACCATCTTGGCAGGGTCCTCTTAAAAACGACTCTCCCATACGGACAATATGTCCAACGACCCGATTCCCGGGAAACCAGTTCAACACACGGGGACCTTGTTGCGCCAAGGCCAAACCAGCCTTAGGGACTTCCTGGTCAAAAGCTCGGGAGACTTGGAGCGGGACGTGCTGCGGGCGGAGTCTACGACTTTGCCCAAGGGCGCACAGGCCGGAGGACCAGCGGAGGGATTGGTGCCAACCTTGCGGCGGTGGCTCAAAATGGGAACCCCACAGCCCAACATGGTCGATGTCCTTTTGGTGTCACTTTGTCACCAGCAGGAGGGGAGAAAAATCCAAGGGTATTCCGACCTGCTCGGGGAGCCTACCAAACCGTCAGGTTTGCTTCATGTCGCCGACAAAACACTCTTTCGCTGAGGGAAGACTTGAGAACGCGGGCCATGTCCCATGGAGTTTGACAGGGGCACGGCAGGTGCCTGTTTTGGGGGTGCCTTCTTCTTGTTTGTGTGTTCCAAGTCCTGAAACAAATGGGCGCGTCGGTGCGGGTACCCCCAAAATGGTTCGAGTTTCCTTTGGTTTCCCTCAACCAACGCAACCCAAAAACACAAATACTTGCCAGTGCTCAGCAGGGAATGGGAAATGGAACGACCCCAAGAAACGCCATCCTGGTGGTTTCCTTTCAGTTGGAATCCCTGAGTTCATTCCCACATCCCTATCGCACCATCAAGAATACCCCCTACTCCAAATACCCACTTTTTCTAGGGTATTTTTCGGAAAGCCGATCGGTTTTTCAGGGTAAATGTAAATACCTCCTTTTTTAGTAGAGGGTCGACATGATGCCCTTAAAAAGAGGTGGGTATTTGGAGGTTACGGGGGCGCCCATGGAGCTGCCCTAACCGCGCCCTGCCACTTCCGCGGGTCGCTGGTCGAAGACGCGGCCAGGTGCCGCCGCCTCCGATGCCGGACCTCCCGGGGCAGATCAACGAGGCCGAGATGGCTTGGGCCATTCGAGGGCTACCCTCCCCAGTTGGAAACCCAGGGATCCGACTCTTTCCAGAAAACCTCCATAAAAAAACCAGGTGGAAACGGAGCCGGCCGGCTTTTTTGGAAAGAAGGAGGGTTGGAAAGAAGGGACAGGGAATCAACCCCTAGAACCATGGGGACTGAGGAGCAAATTTGAGCGGTTTTGGTTGGATGGGGCTATCGGCTATGCATTTTCCATGGTTGGAAACACCTAGAAAGTGATTGGTGGACATACGTCCCCACCGAAATGTGATGTCCGCCTTTTCGGGTGCCTAATGATATTCCTGTGCAAGCTGTCTTCCAGCGCCAACCAGTACCTTAGAAAGATGGCAATCATTATCATTCTGCTTTTTGAGAATGGGTCTGGGTGCGTGTTTTTTCTTCTTTTAAAGGAACCTCGTATTTGTTTTGTTTGTTTCAGGGAAACCAAGAGGAACGTCGAAGCCATTTTTTTGGGGGTAACCTAGATTCAAATGGCGTCTTTTTTAGGTTGGACCCCCCAAATTGGCTTCGGTTTTGCTTTTGGTGTCCCAAGACAAACCCCCCAAACTGGTACAACCATGGTATGTGCTTAAAAGACCTGGCACCCCGTATGGCTGTTTTTTTTTTTTTTTCTCGGTCAAACTCCCGTATTTGGCCGTATTTGCCCGTATGGCCATGTTTTTTTCCGGTCATTTGCGTAAATCACCCGTATGAAACCCATATTTTTCGACATGTTGTTGATAAAAAACACGTACAAATCCGTATGGCCATTCTTTTCGGTCAAAGGCGTATGACCTAAGAAAAACGGCCATATGGGGTCCCAGGGAGAAAATACAGGGACAAGGAGCACTCATGACTGACTGTTCCTCTAGATGCGTGAGAAGCGGCCCGCAACCATTCACAGTGTACAAACACTATACACAAAGCAAGCGACATTTGATGTGTCACATCTGACATCTGAGGAAACAACCGAATTGAGCGCTGAAAAGTAGCAGATATGCGACAACGCCTTGGGATGGCTGTTGTGGATGTGATTACGAGGCAAGACATCACAAACATCGAGAGCATCCCTTGCCCGACTTTTCTCCTTCCAGCCCTAGAGCGAAGGTAATGGTTGCATCATCCAAGCCAGAGGCTTTTCAACATGTAGATCTCCAAGTCTTTGAATGCGACATGTTTTTGGGTGGCGTTTCTTTTCATGGGGTTCTTAGCTGGCCCCCTTAGATGCTGTTGCCATTTTTTATATATATTTTTTACCTTCACACCTCGGGGTCCTTTGACACATGGCTCAGCGCGCGGTCGTCGGCTTGGCTTCGCAGGTGGCGACTTGGGATAGCGACACCTCCAGAGGCGCGTTGATACGCGGGAGACGCGGATGCGCGATTCATGCGATACGTACAAGTTGCGTGGTGGACCGGAAGACTCCCCCGTCTTGCCGGACTATGCCAGAAATAAGGATTTTTTGCCACATCGCTCCCTTTCGAGTCTCAAGTCCCTTTCTTCGAGGACTTGGGCTGGCAGGTGCAAAAGACGGATGTGTTGCTTCCGGGTTTCGAGAAGTAAGTGCCAAGATATGGGTACAGCGAGGTGCTAGAAGTATCCGGTCGCAGACCCCAGCCATTCGCGTCCGCTGCCAGGTTGGGACTCGTCCTCCAACGCTGATCTTTGGGCGTGAGATGAGCACGGCATCCATGGCCGCAAGGAGTACAGTGAATGGCAGCATAGGCATCGAATTCCGCACTCTTCCGTTTCCATTGTTGGCCTCCGTTGTGTGCGCCCTCTCATTTATCGTCACGCTTATAAAATAAGGGAGTGCAAGTGCGTCCAAGATGAGGCCGTTTGGAAGGAGGTTTGATGATCCTTGCAAGGACTTCAGCATGTGTAGAAGCTGTTGATAGATGTCCTCTCACGATGCTTGAAATTGCCAGCAAAGGAAATCCAAGAGTGCAGCGGGAGTTGCAAGGGGCGTGTATAGAGGCGCTTCTGCCAAACGCCAGACGCCAGTTCTTTGCAGTCCGCCAGTTTTACGTATTGATCGAGTTTTAACATGCATGCATTTGTGCGGAGATCAGTTGCAACAAAGCATAGAGACCTTGGGAGTCATCAGAATCAAGTGAGTCACAATCAACACGCGAGATGAAGGATAGCAACGGATATTCTCAACCAATGGGTGCCTTCGCCGCTTTTTCAACTCTCTACATGGTTCTGGGTAGACCATGTCAATACAAGATTTTGATTCTGACTCAAGTCGTACTCTGGATGGACGAAATCAATTTTGCACCACCCAAGAAACCCTGGAATGATGATTCCCCTGCAAATACCAACAATGGTTTCAACCATGGTTTCAAAGTCGTGCGAAATGGATTTTGCAACCATCCACAGCATGTCTTTCATAGACAGCTCAAAGGGTTATTGTTGTCTGGAAGGCAATCGTAGGCCGAGATCAGCCATCACGGGCGACTGCTTGAAGCCAAGCAACACCAATGACTCAATATGGGCGGCTCGTCTGCTTTTAGGCTGGACACCCGCCAAAACAAACTGGTATTTTTTTTTCACAGGACTTTCCTGAAAACACCACAAGAGCAAAGGTAGCCATGGTAGCCTCAGACACACAATCTTGCTCGACGCGCAGGTTACCTGTTACGCGATCTCTCAAGGAACTGGTAGAAAGGAGGGTCGGTGATCCCACAGTGCCCCTGCAGGACTGCTCGTTCGTTGTTTGCCGTGAGCTGCAGGCTTTACTCATGCATGCTGAAGGACCAGCCATCAACCACTGAGTCACTGGAGTGGTCCATGACTCCCCCAAAGAAAATAGGTCGAAATCGATGGGGATTGATTATTACTTTGTGAGCATACCATCAAAACCTGCGAAACACTGGTGAGCTGCATGCTGGATGGTCCGCCCAAAGGCGGCGTCACAGCCTAGAGCACCCGCTTCTTTAACCACGCTTTGAGTTGCCTCAAGGCATGGGCTGCCACTCAAAGCAATCCAAGCTGCGAAGATTGGAACCATAAATTCCAGACATCCAACAAATACCACCTGCCACCCATTGCCACACAGATTCGTGCCGCCTTTTTGTTCTTTCCCCGCGGTTTGGCCGCTGCGCGACCAACACGCATTTCGCAATGAATCCAAGTTGCGGGCTGCAAATGCCGGAGGTGTTCGATCTATCAGCACCTGACAGGTGGGGAAGAAGACATGACAGCAAAGAATCCGACGGAATTCAGACGTTCGTTCCTTGGTAAAGAAAGACAGCAAAGACAGCAAAACTGAATTCAGACAGCAAAGAACACCATTTGCTTCCGTTCCTTCGAGACGTCACTTGCGCCTTTGTGATCCTTTGTGTGCACGATTTGCAGACTGGGGATGCTCGGCGTGCTCATGAGCGTGCTTTTTGATGCATTTCTTGGCCACGTGCAGCGGGTACCATGGCCCATGCAATCCCAATGCTCGTGAGACCATTCTCGGCTTTTTGCTTTGGTTGCAGAGGGCGGCGCAAAGATTGGCGCCGCCTGCCTTCCATTGCCCTGCAATCGGCATTGTTCAGGGGCAATGAGTTCAGTCACCATGCCATACCAAACGGGACCCCACGAGAATCCTTCACTTTTTCCTAACCTTGGCATGTGCGACACAACGAGGGGAGCTCGAAACCCATTTGCAATGGGCAAGGATGGCGGCACAAGTGCGCCCGCGTCCTAGACGCGGCTCACGTTGAAGCCGGAGTTCAGTCAGGGTGTCCGAGTCAGATCCCTTTAAGGGGAACCTTTCACACCACCAGTAAATCTATTCACCTCTGCAGAATATGACAAAAGTACTTTAAAAGGCTGCTACAAAAGGACCAACAGGGGGAAAAACCCGGTGAAATCAACAACATGCGCAAATCCAAACGGTTTTCTAGAGTGCCCACCAAATACCCGCGCTTTTAAGGGCATTTTTGGTAAAACCTGGGTTTCCATGGTAAATACCTCCTTTTTTAGTAGAGAGTCGACATCATACCCTTATTGGAGTAGGGGCTAAATTGACCATTAGAGGAGAAGCCCCCAGTGACCGAAGCCTGTCAAGGGAAAAAGCTCTCAGGAAGCCTCGTGCTCCGGAGATTCTTTTCACGAGGCCGCGGGGGGAGGGCGGGGAGGGGGGGGGGGAAGCATGCTTGATCATTCTAAACAGGGGAAAGCCCCTCTTTCCAGGCTCGGTCAATCTGTACTGGTTTTCATTTGTGAAGGCGGACCATCAGAAACAAGCACGCATGCATTCCAAGATCCCCACTTATATGAAGTAAATGATTTCAACCGCAAGTTGTTCGGGGGGCTGGAACTTTTTTGGTAAAAGCGGGAGCCGAGACATTTTATACAGGATTCAATCACGTCCACACCTGTCTTTGTTTTGCTTCTGCAGGAAACGGATGAAGGACCCGGGTCCCGCTACTTCAATCGGAGAGGCGCCTTTCCTTGGGATGCAGAAAAACGCAGCCCGTTCTTATGGCGACCTTTGTTACCAAGGGGAAGTTGTTTCATCCTTTCGCTCGAGACCCTTTTCCGAGTTTTGAACTGACAAGACCAAGTTGAGCCTGCAAGTGTGTACATATTCCATTCGAACAACACGTTGATTCTCCCAGTCTTGAGTAAGTGTTTGCTCCCGGGGCCGTTCATTTCGAATATCTGGATCGAAAGAACCGCGGGGTTACCAGGATATAAGATGTTGTTTATTAGCATGTTGGATGGAGTCTCAAGCGCCAGCACCGTGTTTGCTCACCAAGAACTCCATTTGGAAGCCGAGCCAGCCGGTCGTGCATCCCCGAAAGCCGTGTGTCTAGAGATGGTCAACATGTGGTCACATTCCAGCTTTGACAAGGAGTGGCAAGCAAAGGAGGAGGCATTTGATATTTGTGAGGAGTGGCACAATGGGGCGTTTCGGCAATTGCTGCTATGCCAAACTTGCCTGGAGGTTTCACTCACACGCCGCTCATCATCCCTGTGCAGCGCCAGGCAGGCGCGCAAATTAAAATTCGGTATGCTTTGACTTTGGATCTGCAGAAAGGAGCAACCACATCTTCTTGCTAAGGACATGAGGGGATGACACGATCCCCGCAGACAGCAGGACTTTGCCTTATTTTTTCCCCTGTCAGGTAGGCAATGAAGGTTGTGGCCCGAGACAGGTGTGTCAATCAAGTGCGACCCTGACTGGAGCATGGCACAGTTCAAGAAACACGGCTGGTTGCCTGGTGTTCACGGTGTTCCCTTGGACATGCGGGATTTTTTACCCAGAAGAGCATGTACCTGCAAGAGGATTCATTTTGCCGGGCCCTGCTTGAATGGGAGACATGACTGGCATCGTTTCATTCCATGTCAATGGGATTTTAGTGTGACCGGCAGTTGGGGTGCGTGCACCACTCATTATTAGCATGCTGGCTCCGGATGATGTTTTTTCAGCTTGTTGTAGGGCCTTTGATGATGTCATGGTGGACGGCACAGAACTCGACATGTGCACCACTGCTTTCGTTCAGGGGACCTAAATGGTTCTAAGAAACTGGTTCCGATCGCTTGAATGTGTTTTTTCTTCTTTTTCTTTCTGGTTCCCTTTAAACACCAACCAAAAAGGGGTACCCTCACAAAACGAGCAGACATTCTCATTTGCTAGAACCCATTCTACGGGTCGCCAAATCAAAGGGGTACCCTCAAACAACGAACAGACGCGCTCCGCGTCCCGTGCCTTTCGTTTTCACTCGCGAGGTCCCGCAAGTGAGATGGTTTCGGGCCAGGCCCCGAGATCAACATCCTTCGACGCTTCGACCAGCCCGAACCGGTGGTTTGCCCTTTGGTTTTCCTTTAAAGCTTGCTGGTGCTCAGGGAACCATGCAACCAGTGGTTGCCTTTCCCACGTTTTCCCACATTTTTTACTGAGCACTAAGAAAGCCACCCTTCAGAAGGGTACCCAATCCTTCGAGCGTGCCGGTGTTGGGATGGTTTTGGAAATGCCAAGGCGTCCTCACCAGCGCGGGCCCTTGCTCGATCTTTCAGCCAGCGGTGCGTCGATTCCAGTCCGGCTCAATCAGATGAAGTTGAGCCCTCTTCCCGGCCCGCCTTCCTGGGACAACTCGTGTTTCCTTTTTTTTTCTCCCCCGTAGATTTGGCCGTGGGTCAAAACCAATGGTACCATTTTCGGGTACGTGCACCACCCATTTTAGTCTATTTTTTGGGGATGAATGTTCACTGAAAGACCATCGGCATTTATGTTGTCGCGGATGACTCGACGGGAATGGGCGGCGCCTATCATTGATTTGACCGGTCAGCTTGAAGCAGCCAGTGGCGACTTGTTCGGAATGAGTGGTGCCCGTGACTCGACCTAAGTTTGACTCGGGATGGATGGCCCAAGCGTTGGAGTCCTCAGTGCCCAGAAAATATTCACAAGCGCTCCCCAAAGCCACTAGGTTCCGATGGATTTGTGTTGGAATTGCCCACCGATCGCCGCATCGCCGCTCCCGCAGATTTGTATGTGTGACCCTTCTCCAGCTTGGGGTAACAGCGGGTAACAGGTGCCTTCCTTCCGTGGTAGGACCTCCCTTCTCCGGCCTTTGGAAACCGAGACCGTCGGACCGTCCCCAGGACTTGGCGGACTTGGCACGAAGAAAAAGGCGCGGTGGTCGTTTGTGTCATGAAACACACGTACTGTGGCTGTGGGTCAAATCCAATGGTACCATTTTGGTGCGTGGGCGTGCGTAGGTGTGTGTGTGTGTGGATGCGTAGGTGTGCGTAGGTGTGTGTGTGTGTAGGTGTGCGTAGGTGTGCATAGGTGTGTGTGTGTGTGTGTGTGTGTGTGTGTGTGTGTGTGTGTGTGTGTGTGTGTGTGTGTGTGTGTGTGTGTGTGTGTGTGTGTGTGTGTGTGTGTGTGTGTGTGTGTGTGTGTGTGTGTGTGTGTGTGTGTGTGTGTGTGTGTGTGTGTGTGCGTGCGTGCGTGTGTGTGTGCGTGCGTGCGTGCGTGCGTGCGTGCGTGTGTGGGTGTGTGTGTGTGTGTGTGTGTGTGTGTGTGTGTGTGTGTGTGTGTGTGTGTGTGTGTGTGTGTGTGTGTGCGTAGTGCGTAGGTGTGCGTGTGTGTGTGTGCGGGTGCGTGTGTGCGTAGGTGTGCGTAGTGTGTGTGTGGGTGCGTAGGTGTGCGTGTGTGTGTGTGTGCGTAGGTGTGGGTAGGTGTGTGTTTGTGGGTGCGTAGGTGTGCGTAGGTGTGTGTGGGTGCGTAGGTGCGTAGTGTGTGTGTGTGTAGGTGTGCGCGTAGGTGTGCGTAGTGTGTGTGTGTGTGTGGGTGCGTAGTGTGTGTGTGTGTGTGTGTGGATGCGTAGGTGCGTATTGTGTGTGTGTGTGTGTGTGTGTGTGTGTAGGTGCGTAGGTGTGCGTAATGTGCGTGTGTGTGTGTGTAGGTGCGTAGTGTGTGGTGAGCGTGTGTGCATAGGTGTGTGTGTGTGTGTGCGTAGGTGTGCGTAGTGTGTGTGTGTGTGGTGCGTGTGTGTGTGTGTGTGTGCATAGTGTGTGCATATAGTGTGTGTGTGTGTGTGTGCGTGGGTGCGTGTAGGTGTGCGTAGGTGTGCGTAGGTGTGTGCGTCCGTGGGGTGCGTAGGTGTGCGTAGGTGTGGTGTGTGCGTAGGGTGTGTAGTGTGTGGTAGCTGTGTTGTGTGGGTGCGTATCGTGTGTGTGTGTGTGGGTGCGTAGGTGTGTGTGTGTGTGTGCGTAGGTGTGCGTAGGTGCGGGTGTAGGTGTGTGTTTGTGGGTAGGCTGTAGTGTGTGCGTAGGTGTGTGTGGGTGCGTATCGTGGTGAGCGTAGGTGTCGTAGAGTGTGCGTGTGGTGCATATCGTGTGGTGTGCGTAGGTGTGTGTGTGTGGGTGGTGTCGTAGGTGTGCGGTGTAATGTCGTGTGTGTGTGTGGGTGCGTAGGTGTGCGTAGGTGTGTGTGTGGGTGCGTAGGTGTGCGTAGGTGTGTGTGTGGGTGCGTAGGGTGTGCGTAGGTGTAGGTGTGTGGGTGCGTAGGTGTGCGTAGGTGTGTGTGTGTGGGTGCGTAGGTACGTATGTACGTGCAGGTGTGTGTGTGTGCGTGTGTGTGTGCGTAGGTGTGCGGGTACGTGTGTGTTGTGCATGCGTGTCTGTGAGTTTGAATGATGTGTCGATAAATAGGTACGTTTGCCTTTGTGTTTGTGTGTGTGTGTGTCTGTGTGTGTGTGTTTTTGTGTGTTTTTGTGTGTTTTTGTGTGTTTTGTGTTTTTTTTGTGTTTGTGTGTCTGTGTGTATGTGTGTTTGTGTTTTTGTGTTTTTTGTGTGTTTGTGTGTTTTGTGTGTTTTTTTTTGTGTGTTTGTGTGTTTGTGTGTTTGTTTGTTTGTTTGTTTGTTTGTTTGTTTGTTTGTTTGTTTGTTTGTTTGTTTGTTTGTTTGTTTGTTTGTTTGTTTGTTTGTGTGTTTGTGTGCTTGTGTGTTTGTGTGTTTGTTTGTTTGTTTGTTTGTTTGTTTGTTTGTTTGTGTGTGTGCGTTTGGTTGTTTGGTTGGTTGTTTGTTTGTGTGTGTGTGCGTTTGTTTGTTTGGTTGTTTGTTTGTTTTGTTTGTGTGTTTGTTTGTTTGTTTGTTTGTTTGTTTGTTTGTTTGTTTGTTTGTTTGTTTGTTTGTTTGTTTGTTTATTTGTGTGTTTGTGTATTTGTGTGTTTGTGTGTTTGTTTGTTTGTTTGTTTGTTTGTTTGTTTGTTTGTTTGTTTGTTTGTTTGTTTGTTTGTGTGTGTGTGCGTTTGGTTGTTTGGTTGGTTGTTTGTTTGTGTGTGTGCGTTTGGTTGTGTGCTTGTTTGTTTGCTTGCTTGCTTGCTTGTTTGTTTGTTTGTTTGATTGTTTGTTTGCGTGCCTGCGTATATTACATGTGTATATATATATATATGTAATCAATGTGCGCATGTACGCGCCATACTTTTTGTATATATATATATGTATATATATATGCATCCACAGGAGATATGCATATGCATGCGGGTGTAGATCATCGTACGTCGGCCCTGGGCCAGGCTCCTATGGCACGCGAAGAGTCGAGGCTGGCTGGAGCTGGACGTTCTCATGGGCACCTTCGTAGAGAAGACGCTTCGGCCGCACGAGGGGGGGGCCAGCGTCTAGATGGTTGAGGCGAAGGGTACCCGGTTTCTGGCGGATTTTCAGGGGAACCGGGGTAATTGTTCTTTTTTCGGGGGAGTTGGTACCCGGTTTAATCAAGGCAAAACCAGAAGGAAGACCGCAAACTGCTATTTTGGAGGGTCGATTCTATGTGAAGACACACCCACTTGCGGCCAGTTTCAACCGGGCTGCCGGAGTTCCGAGCTGCTTCGTGAAGGAGGTTCCTGCAAGTCGTGCAAGGGGTGATGCACTGTGGCTCAAGGTCTAGCTCGTAGCTTCGAAGGAACTGGGGTTTCAGAGTTGCGGCCTGTTTCAAGTTTCCCATGCCGCTCACAGCCACCATCTCTGTGGCTGGTCCAACTGGCAGTTGCGTCATCCGCTTCAGAGAGGAAGACCTTGAGATCCAGAGCGAAGTTCTGCAGCGTCTGGCGGAGGCCGTGGGCAATACCGCAGAGATGCTCGACGAGCCAGAGCAGGCTCAGCGAGCATTGGAGGGCTTGGAGTTCCTCCGAACGGAGCAACGAAAAGTTGAGAAGGAGAAGGCGGACGAGAAAGCCGTGAACCGAGTCATTCAAAAGCAGAGCGAGGCATGGGGAGCAAAACCTGAGAAGCCGACCAAAGCTCTACCCAAAGCACCGCGCGGCTTATCGGCACGCTCTGAGCCCAAAGCCGCCTCAAAGGCTTTCCGGCCCTTTGCCTCCAGAAAAGCGACAGAATAAATTCTCAGTTGCTGACTCACTTAGTATGATGGACACAAGACACACCTTGCAGTGCAGTAGCTTGACTCCCAACAAAGTTGAGAAGTGCGCGAAGCTCTCGTTGGCATACTCCCTGGCTCATTAGGGACTGAAGCAAGGGACTGCGTCAACCTGTATAACAAATTGCTTCCACACAATGTCAACGATGGGTCCTTGGTGCTGCTCACTTGATGCATTTTTCAACAATAAATTGTCCTGAACGCTGGCAGATGTTCGGGTGATGTGCCAGGTTCGGGAGAGTGGCTTTGTGCACATGGTGCATCAGAGCAAACTCGTTTGCTATTGTCCAAGACAGCTTTCCTGTTGGATATTGCTGTGCAAGCCGTCTTTCAGCGCCAAACAGACGTTAGAAAGATGGCACCATTCATTCTGAGTCTGCCTTTCGAGAATGGATCTGGGTGTGTTTTTCTTGGAACCCCTTTTGTGGTTTGAAAGGGAGAAGAGGAAGCCAGCAGCTTTTGGCGTCCTATTTTCAGACACACCCGCTCGCAGGCCCATGACTCGATCGAAAAGCGCTCAAGACAGATGCTCTGCCTATGGAACGGTGCGGAAGCGTGGGATGTCCTTGGCTGAGGCACGTCTGGGATTTTGATGAGGCCAAGCTGGAGTTGTTGGAGGAGGCGACGTTTGTGCCCAGTGCCGCAAAAAAAACAAAACACACACACAGAGCCCAAATGCAGCAAATGTCTGAGACTCTTGCAGCTTTCTGGAGGTTCTGGCGCTTGAGAATCCGGACCTATTCAAGTGGTTCACCAAGCAGGCCGGCCAGTTTCTATCGGTACTGTGGCTGGACGAAATCCTGCACCACTTTGAAACCATGAGAAATCATGGTTTGTTGGTATTTGCAGGCGAATCAACATTCTAGAGTTTCTTAGGTGGTGCAGGATTCGTCCATTCACAGTATTTCTGGACAAATAGATGCTTGTCCCGGGCAGGTCGGAGAACAATGTATATAGATCTGTTGCCCGACAGGATGGGCAAAGATCAGACCTTTGGGCATGCTGAGAGCCAATGTCGGGTTTCAGAGGGAGGGGGTTAAACGGGTATGGGTCAAAATTAAACCACCAGGATATGGACCGCAGGTTCTGTTCTTGTTTCCATTTACCAGGGCAAGCCATTTTGGACACCTTTTTTTTTGACCCACACCCAAATCTTCAGTCCGCCTGCTCCAAGCATGCTGCTTGTCCAATGTTCCTGCGCGAATCCTTTGCTAAGTGGCCTCACTGAAGGTTTCTGCGGCTATTAAGGGAGGTTCGGCCGAGGGATGTTGCTGCGCTTGCTGCGAGAATGCCATAAACTGCCATAAACTATGCATCTTAGCGGTCAAGGCCAAATGCCAATGGTTTTGGCGGGCATTGCGGCCAATATTCATTCGCGTGAAGCATGTGGCACTGGCAGAAGCGTCATTTTTGGAAGAATGTCAGGCAATGCCTTCCAGCCTATTCATCACAGGTGATAAATGCATTTTGCGCGATGGTTTGCCTGCTTGCTTGCTTGCTTGCTTGTTTGTGTTTGCTTGCAGGGCATGCGCGGCAAAACCAACCAATCAAAGGTGTGATCTGAACACAGAAAGTGCAACAATGCTTGCCTTCAAACTGCAGCCCCCTCCAGCTTGATTTTCTCTCGGTCACGTTTGCACTCAAGGGGCTTTCCTAGGCCTCTCACAACACCCGTGCCTCTATAGTATGGAACACCTCCTAGCAAACTGCTAGGCCCAGGTGCCAGAGGAGCTGCTGAATGAGAACGAGGTGATGAGATTGATGATGGAGCGCCTTGCCAATCGTCAAATGCTCCCCGAATGTTTGAGCGTCCTGGCTCAAAAGGTTTTGTCTCAGACAGGAAGTTTGAGAGTTGCAGAGTCACGTTGGACATAGTTAGTTTCTTAGCCTGGGGCTTTGAAATGGGCGTGGCTGCTAGGGCCAACCGCGGGTTTTAATCTTTGCTTCCATGTGCCCAGGTGTCATTTCGGTTTTCATTTTTTTGAGCCACAGCCCAACCTGTGAGACTCTTGCATTGCGAGTGGTGTTTGTTGCAGTCCGGCGGCCAGTTTCCGAAGAGATGTGGCCATGAATTTAAAGATTTGAAGAGTTGGAACCACCTGAAAAAAAACAAAATGGTAATATTTTAAAGAGTTGTTGGTATTTCTGGAATTTAAAGGGTTGTTGGGAATCTTCACCTAAATGATGTCCACCATTTCGAGTACCTTGTTCAAATTCATGCAAGTATTTTGATCAATCGAAGCAATCCAGCTGTGCTCGAGGGATTTGACGCTGACATACCCGCCAGCCAGACCACTGGACTGATTCTGTTGATACTGGGTCTAGGACAGAAAGCCGATCTTGGACTTTGTGCTGATCTGGTGCTAAGGCCTTTGTACTGTTTATAAGTGGGTGTGGTTCAAAATTAACCAGGAGGGGTTACGCAGGTTTTGGTCCATGTTTCCACTTACCAGGGTTCCATTTTGGTACCGTTTTTTGAGCCACAGCCAAGTGACAACTGACACTTCCTATTCCATTGGAGAAAGTTCTGAGCTTCAAGGAGGTAGCGGCATAAGCTGAAGCACCCAGCGCTAGCGGCGACCTTTGTTCCCTTAGCTCCGTCGCCGGCTGCTTTTCAGAAATCCGTCCTTTTGGCGTCCCTTGAAAGAACCGCCAAAAACGGGGTGACTCCACAGACAAGCCACCCATTCGGGCGATGTCCGCGATGAATATCGATCGAGCTTAGGTGGGTCAAGAGCGACCATACCGCCAATTTCAGCATCAAGTGAGCCGGGAGTTTCGGCCTGTAGGATGCGCATAGGGCTGGGTCTGTCATGCAGGTGGCTTTCCTGGGCTGGGCCCATGTTTTCAGACTCGCATGGTATTGATGACTCGATGATTCACGCATCTCTTTTGTGCAGGATTTGAGTGGGGTGGTAGAATGAGAACGATGGATTCATGCCCACTGCGAGCTTGCCGCAATCATTCGCTCTCTTCACATGCGCACAGGTTGCCCAGCCCTTGTTTGACTTGCACTTGTACAGTTTCTGTTCTGGAGTGGTGACCCAATTTTCGAGCAGCCCCTGGCTTTGTGGGGGCGTGCCACGACTCGTGGGGTCAATGACATCGATGCCGCCGAAAAGGATCGATCCGGCTTCAGTAGTGGTTACCTGCGCGGGATACCAACCTCCCAAGTCTTTGTTGCCCTACTGCGTGTGTGTGTGTGTGTCGTGTGTTTTTGGGGCCCTATACCTTTGTGAAGCAATTGTTCAGAACGCGGGCGGCACGCGCCCGCGGAATACTTGATTTCGTTTGTTGCAGACCAGTTTGGGGATGTGACTCGAAGAACAAATGGGTGTGTCTTTTTTGGGCCCGATGTGTAGTCACGAAAGCTAGCGTCAGCAAGCTTGACTTCCTGCTTGCTTTGCAAGTGTTCCGGATTCTCACACCACTGTGTGATTACATCACATGCAGCCGCCGCTTTGTGTGCTTGCAATCACCCACACACACCCCTCCCAGGCTCGAATCCACCCTCCAGCTTGAATCTGCGGAGCACGCGCTTGCGTGGGCAGTTGGACGAACTTGCTTTTTTGTGCGCGGTCCCTTTCCCTGAGTTGGCGTGCGCTTGTTTTACCCACGTGCCCACGCTTTTCGTAGGTGGTTGCAGGCGCATGCTTCTTTGCGCAGTGCCCCCGCTTGAGCTGGCATGCCTGCGCTGGCGCCCTCGAACAGCCGTCCTGGCACCGCGCATGTTGTTACGCCAGCTTGCTTTTTTTGCGCCCGCTTGCTTCCTTGCGCTTGCGTAACTCACATGCCCGGCTGCCTCAGCCGTGGGCCCGGGCACCGCTCGTTTCATGCACGCGCGCGCTTGCGTAGGCATTTGTCCGCGCCCTCAGCTGGCATGGATGCGCCGGCGCCGGCGCCCTTGCACATTCACCCCTGGCACCGCCACTTTCATGCACACACGTGCTTGCAGACCCAGTTGCAGCTTCTTTGCGCGCCCTTGTCGGCACTCACTCACGTGCTCCCTGCCGTCTCTCCCTCCCCCCGGCGTGTGACGTGGTTGTGCACTGCTGCAACCCTTGCGCCCGTGTGAGCTGGCAGGCGTGTGCCGGTGTACGTGCGACAGACGCGTGGTTTTCTAGGCTCGTCAGGGCAGCTGCAGCCTTTAGCCCGCAGCTTGAGTCAAAACCGGACTCGGTCAGGTCCGTCGGCTTCTCCTCCCTTCTACCCCAACTCCAGGATCTCCGGTCTGTCCAGCTCGGCCTCGATGGCTCCCAGAGCTGATGCCGCCATTCGCCGCATCCGGCATCACCCCGCCGAGCCTCCAACTCTCCCGAGCAGCAGCAGCTCTAGCCATCACTTCCAGGCCGCTCTCGTTCCTCCTCGTGCGGCGGGGTGGCGGCGGAAGTGGATGGTCCTGATGTCGCAAAGCACTCCGCTCCCTCATCGGCAGCTCCTTCCATTCTGCCACCGCTCCACTTCCCGCTCCAGCACCTGAATGACCTTGAACAAGCGGCCGCGTTGTTGCTGAATCCTGCGGCACCCTCGCAAAGTGCCGCTCCATTTCCTCGCGCAAAACCAGAGCGCCAACGAGTTCATCGTCTGGTTGCCGAGCCCGCTCCGGGATCCACATTCAGCCCTCTGTTCCAGATCCAGTGCAAATGAAGCAAGGCCGGACCACTTCCACCAAGAAACCTTCCACCTCCCAGCACATGATCTCTCAACTGCGGATCTCGTCGAAGATCCACTGCCTCATTTGGTCGACCTTCTCGCCGTACCACGCACCGAGCCATCACCTTGCCATAGGGCTCGACATGTTGCATTCGTCCCCTCCACAACTACTGAGCACCTCCTTCAATCCGTTGGGCAGTGCGCAGCTTTCGTGCCGTTGCCTTTGTGTATTGCCAGCCAGTGGCGCTTGACCTTCATGCTGCTGCTCTTGTCCATTGCCCGCCCGTAGGGCTCGGCCTTCATGCCATGGGCGTAGAGCCTGACTTCCAGACGCTTTCGGCGCCACCGGGAGATCTGTCCCTCAGACCCTCTGACGCCAAGAGCGAATTTTACCGGCGCCGCTGGTCTCCGACTGACGATCTCGTCTCAACGACCATCGCGGTCTGATAGGCCTCGGCCTTCCGTGTCTGCCTTGCCATGTCGGCTTCCATGTAACTCTGTAGTCTGTAGCCGGACAAACGAGCCACGCTGACCTCCCCCCCCCAAATGTGAGCTGAGAAGTCCACGGTCCTTGAGATCAGCGCAGACGCAAACAGAACACGCTCCAGACTGCAGCCCAGCTGGGGATGGGCATGGATGGGCCAAAATTTGTCACCGGATTTTACGGTTCCATTTTGCCAGGCTGCCAGGGCACCCCATTTTGGGGTTGCCCCCATTGACCCAGCCAGCTGGAAACGAAGTCAGGATGCTGCAAGACTTGGACCAACGCATTTGCCATTGCAGCATGCCTGAGGGCTGCTGACGAGCGCCCTGTTTTTCGCCAGCAGTGCAAATCGCTGCAAGATAAACTACCTAGATTCAGGGTTGTTTCTATTTTCGTGTTGGAGCCTTCGAGTTCTGAGTCGAGACCGTTGCTCCAGTGATCGAGTAGTCGGCTAGTCAGCTTTGGCGGACCATGCTACTGGGGTCCACTGAAGGTTGAGTCCGTGCAAGGTGTGGCTTGCGCAGTGCAAGATGTGAATGGCAAGTGGGTTGGCATTGACTCCCACATCTCTCACTGCATGTTATGAGGATGCTGATTGCAGCCAATGTCAATTTATTGTGAAAACCGCAGTAATCATTACTAGATCAGTGTGAAACAAAGATGTACATGTCCGCCATATCTTCCCTTCATGGTGTATGTTTGGAATCTTCAGCCTTGCTTCGCCGCCTCCAGCCTGCTTCGCGACAAGATTCGACATGGCGTCATTTCCCACCTTCCAACAGACACACAAAAAACATGTCCATGAGCCGCACCCCTGCCACTTGGCCACCCGCGGCTTTTTTTGAGCGAGCCTCTCAGGAGGCCTTCAAAATGGCGGCGGGTTATATTGCTCCGCCCTACGCCTCCACGATCGAGGAGGAGGTCTGGGCGCAAGCGCGATGAAAATTGGGGTTCCACTTGAAGGTCGGCTTTTTTGGGGGTCATCATAATAAAGGCTAAGGATCATCAACATGATCGTTGTCGTCGTCATCGTCAGCTGCAAAAAAGAAGCGCAGCCGCCAACAATATTGCTGTTGTTGTCTACAACATTCCATTTCCTTAAGAATATTTGTTGTTTCCCCTTGTTGGTTTTAAGAGGGATTTATCACTACTGGATTTTTTCCAGGGGTCTTAACCAACTGGAAGCAACTTAACGGAACATGGGCGGGGCCTGTCCGATCAAAGATCACAAGACAAGAGGGGAGCAGGAAGTAATCCACCCGACGTGCAGCGGAAGTGGAAGTCATCAGGCGAACCTTCAAGAGGTGCGGTACCGAATCAACTCGCTGAAGAGCCAAAATGCCGGGAAGCCCAGGCCAGCGCACGGCTATCTTTTGGGTGATTTCCCTTTTCAATCAGCCGCTGTGTGTTGCATATTTTGCAAGTCCAAGCTTTTGGGTTGAGGGCTTTCACGGGGTATCAGAGATGGGACAAGAGTCGGTGTTTTGATTTGCAAGGAAGTCCGCTTGTTCTAAAGCGTGATTTTGTGCAAGTTGATTGGTCTCTTCAGACCTAGACGCCAGAGTCAGAAGGCGGTTGGTTGCGGCGGCGTTGGGAAAGCTCATCGCGCTCAGGAAGCTCTTAGAGATGAGATGAAGCGAGTCATGAAGGAGCCAGTAGCCCAGCCCGGATCGTATGCGTTCATGCAATGTCTCTTTGGTGGGCTGCATTGGCGCATTGCCATCCTTGCATGGGATTCGATACATCAAGCTGCCTTTTCAACCCAGGCAAGCTCTGACTCGCGATTCGCTGAAATGCTCATGTGTCTCTCAGTCACCTCAAGTAACACCCTCCACATGATCCGAGTTCCTAAACACGGGAGCTGACACTCGCGCTGAGTAACCACAAGCAGACGGAGAAAGCCTTCTGGGCTCGTCGTCATACGCAAGATCTTCAAGACCGAGCTTGGGGCTCGGTCTGGGCTTCCCGGGTCAGTGAGCAACCAAAAACGCGATTCATAATTTGGGGTCGGAGGCCCAAATGGGATCAAATGCAAGAGGGAATCAGTAACTTTGGGGGGAAGCGGCATCATTGGTTCACCAGGTTGCCGAATGCGTCGACGTTTCTTGCACAATTGAGAAGTCTTTTCGGACATCCATTACGCGCCCATCTTTTGCCAGGCGCAGTACATTCGCATCGCCACCATCTCGAATCCTGCACCAATCGGGCAGTATTGCCCGAAGCTGAAAGGCGGGCGCTTTCGGGCCAAGGCCCTGAGCCACTAAGCCACCATGACAGCAGGGACGCGAGGCAACCAAATGTTTCGTAGCGGAGCAATTGCGGACATTGTTCCCCTCGCCAATGCATCGATCAGCGGCATCGGCGTCAATCGAAAACAAAGGCTTGACCCTTGTGACGGGGGGAAAAAGAGTTCCGAGCTTGAAATCCAAGAAGCAGACTGGTTTAAATTTGTGGGTTGATCAATATTCCTGGCCCCCAAATGACCATGGGCTACTTTTCCCATTTGGTGGGAAAGTCATCTTTCTGGTTGTTTCCATTTGATTGTAGACATTGTACACGTAGCACAAGCGCTTGCTCAGCTAGCCTTGGGTTGCCAGGGCCGCCTCCTGACGAGTACTACCTGGAGCGGCATGCCATCCATGGATTTTTGGTGTGGAAAGCTCGATGTACACCATGGGCACCCATCCAAAAGCGGGTGAAGCGATGTGGGGCTGTTGGAACTTGAAGATGTGCTTCCAGATCGAGGAGTTTCCCCTTTTTCGAGCTCCGAAAACTCTCCTGACCCCTATGCAGAGTCCCAAGGAATCCCGACTCAGGGGACCTTGAAATCAACCTACATTAAGCCGCAAAATCAGTCTTGACCCCAAGAAAAGAACACATGTAAACTTGGGTTTCATTTGGACCATCAGAAGGTGCCTTTGCATGGATTTGACTGCGAAATTCTGGAGGGGCGGGCCTTGCTGGGGCGAGTGAGTTTTGACCGACCGACCCAGCCCCAAAAGCTGTGGCGGGAAGGTAATAGGGGGTCCGAGTGGCTTCCGCGTCTTAGGGTTGTTTGTTGCCAAGTTAGTAAGTGGTTAGCCTCCTGGGTCAAAACAATCACTAGTGACAGGGTGAACTCCACTGAAGGAACTATAAGTGCGGTATAACCCAGGCTACGAACAACTTACTAAGTCAGCCGAACACAGGTGGATAAACATGTTCTGGCGGCGAGAGGCAACGCGCACTGGCTACATGTTGTTTGATGCCTCATGCGCGCTTCAGTATATCGCTTTAAAATAACCTTGTCAGTGCATAAAAATGATGGTGCTCATCGCGATCTGGAGGAGGCTTTTCATTGGATGTCTCCTTCTTCTCATATTAGGATGTCCAATATAAATGGAAGGCCTCACGAAATGTTCACGGACGCGTGGCACAGGGAACCCGTTGCAGCCATTGGTGACCATTGGTGACTCATCCTCTGTGTCAATTCGTGGCCTTGCAGGACTATTTCGGGCCACCATCCCATGGCTCCCTTTGCCATAGCTCTGACTCATTGACAATTTAATTACCCTCCCAAACCAACATGGAAGCTCCCAGGGCCCCTTAAGACTTGGTTCCATGTACAGAGGCCTTCTGGGAGCTTCCATGCTAGGCTGAGGGAGTGAGGGCCCCCAGCCTTTTCCCAGCGTCGTGCTTCCCGTTTGCGACCGGCAACGGGCTTTGGAGGACCAGATTGCAAAGGTGCGACAAAAGACGCAGCAGCAGTTGCCAGACCCTCGGTCGACCCAGTTTTGGTGAAGCTCAAGATTTGAGCAGGTCTTTCTTGGGGGGAATGCCCCAAAAATGGCAACGGCTTCCTTTTAGCTTTCCATTTGACACCAACCAACACCTCAAGAAAAGACACACATTTTGAAAAGGATTCTTAGGCATATGTTGCGACTTCTTCGGTCCAGCGTGCAATACTGTGCATCCTCGGCCTGTCTAAATGGCTGGCTGCCCGATGAGTGAACTGACCGGAGCAGGTTTGCAAAAACTTGACCGTGGGACCTTAGAATTTTTCTCATTCAACATGGGCCTTCCTTTGGGCATGCCAGGCTGATTTCGTGGAGGGTGTGTGAGCTTTTGCTTTGGGGAGCTAGTGCTATCCAGGCGCGGGGCTTGTGTCAGGACCACTAAGCTTCGCCATTGGCCAGCCGAGAGCGGATTGCCACGCGGACTTCCACTTCTTACGCCAGTACCACTGAATTGATGGAGAGTGTCTAGCAACGGACCAAATCCAGCTGCGTCAGACACCCATCGTCGGACATGCGACTGAGGATGCAAGAGGCGGCACGCCTGAAGGGGCAACAGCTTTCACCGCAGTCCGGGCTCCAAGATTACCACCTGCTTCGGCTGTTGTTGTTGTTCTTGTTGCTGTTGTTGTCGTTGTTGTTAGTGCTGTTGTTGGTTGTGGTGGTTGGTGGTGGTTGGTGGTGGTTGGTGGTGGTTGGTGGTGGTTGGTGGTGGTTGGTGGTGGTTGGTGGTGGTTGGTGGTGGTTCTGCATTGATTCAAACAAAAAGCATTCCCACAATTTCCAGGGCACTGCCAACAGGAACCCCCACCGCTGCCACGCACGTGGCTGTTAAAATCGCCTTCAGCCTGAAACCGCACAAGTACCTCGCGTGTGTCGGGACTGTTTTTTCGGAAGCAGGTTGGCAAAATGGCAGAGAATGGCGCGAAAATCAGAGTGGCCATCGCGACGGTCAAAGTCTCATGTGTGAAGCGATCTTCATGCTGATACGTTTGCTCCTCACGGCCATCCTTATGACAATCAGATGAGCAGCAGCTTTCCATGACAACGCTACGCGATGTGGAATTTGTCCTCTTTCTGGTATTTGCCTTCGTTTGTTCCCAAAGACATTGAGCAACGCTTGGTCTTTGAAGAACCGCAGGCTCCACATGTTCTAAAGCTTGCAACCCATTGCGCCATGCAGATTACCCTCCTTGGAAGATGTCCAGGGGCTCACATCGTCATGGGCGCACTGGCCAAATCAACTTTGCGATCGGTGCGAGAGATGCAGGGAATGAGAACTGGAATGTCCCTTATAAGCCATGTTTTGTGGTTTCCTGTACAGGAATTTCTGGGTTCATTCCCAGATTTTACTGAGCACCAGAAAGTCAATCTAGGGATGTTTGCCCAAGGCCCATTTTTCGCTTCGAGGAAAACTAACTCACACGAAGAGGGACTCCTCGAGCTGAGGGGCCGCGCCCCGCGTGTGAAGGAGGTCGGAATCCCGGCCAAGCCTTGGTTTGGTGACAGTCAGGTAGTCTCAGTCACTGGACAGGTAGGCGGCATCATTGGGGGGGAGCACATGGATTTCAACAGCTAGAGGGGGGATTGCTACCAGTTGTGCAGGTTGGCGAGCAGGAAGACAGGGGTGCTCAGCCCAATGTTACATGTTAATTCGGGTAAAGTGTGTGTGTGTGTGGGCTAGACGTTACGAGATGTTTACCACAGTTGTGGAAATGGACTCTGGGGATATTGGGCCACGATCCCGTTGAACTCCATATTCTCGAAAGCACCAATGCCAAACAGCCCACGGATCACTTGGATGACTCGTCACTTTTGTTCAATCCAAGAATCCCCGCATGCCAGGGAGGTGCCTTCTGCTTGGTTCAATGAAACCACATGCATCGTCACCCAAAGCAGCTTGCTCTCATGGGTGTTTTGGAACCCTTATAGCCACCAATGTGTGTGTGTGTGTGCGTGTGTTTAAAAGAGCGAAACCAAGAACAAGAAGACACATGGTCATGGGAAGCCCCCAAATAAGTTGTTCTTCGCCCAACAGTTTTTGGAATACAAACACCCATGGTGGATAACCCTATCGTCGCCAATGTTTCTTTTTGAAGAAACATGAACACGCACATGAACACAACAACAAACAACAAGAAGAACAAACAAAGAAGCAACACAAAAACAAAAAACAATGAATAAAACAATGCTCCAAAACAACCCAATAATGTTTGTTTGCTTAAGAAAAGTCACCAATGGTTTCACAAACTAGCACCAATGACAATACATCATATTGCGATTTCTCACAATGCATTTTGTTTGACATACTGTTGATGGACGAAAATCCTGCACCGCTTTGAAACCATGGGAAACCGTTGTTGGTTGGTATTTCCAGGGGAATACCAATTCCTGCATTTCTTAGGTGGTGCGAAATTGATTTTGTCCATCCACAGTAGCACCAATGGCAATACATTATATTGCAATACTCCCAGCTGCATCATTTGTTTCTCATACATTTTGTTTGACATAGCAACCAACAACGGTTTCCCATGGTTTCAAAGTGGTGCGAAATGGATTCCGTCCATCCACAGCGCCAATGGTCGCAGATCCAGTCGGTTCCTCGGGCGTTTGGTGTCAGATCCCTTGCAACTTCTCGCCGGCCATTGGCACGGAGAGCAGCGCCTCGGCTCGAGCGCAGACGTGGCTCTGAGCGCTGGAGCTCGAGCCGTCGTTCGATTTCTTTTTGGGAGGATGCGAAAGAAAGACCCAAAAAAGGGGCGGCCTCGCACCTTTTGAAAGGTAGCTTGAGGGTGCAGGTACCTTTTTTCACCCCAGAATTTGGATATATATCCAATTTTGAAGGGGAGTTTGAGGGTTCAGGTACCCTTCTTTGGGGTGGTTTGAAGGGAAAGCAAAAGGACTACCCAGCCGTTTTGGGGAGGGCCAGCCTTAAAAAAGACACACCCAAGTACTCCCCACATGAACCCAAAACGGACGGCCGAATCCCAGGAATTTCCTCTAATGAACTGGGCGGGTTTTCTGGGTTCCGGCCGTGTGTAAATGAAGCTGCCATGAGCGACTTAGGGCAACGGAATGCATTCCTTCCAATAAGCATGGAAGTGGAAGGACCCAAGAAGAAAACACATCTCACTTCCCAAACCCTCCGATCGACAGCATCCACAATTTCTTGCGGGAGGGTAGGTGTTCAAGCACTTCATGTGCTGACTGATTGACTGATGGTGCTGTATCTCCAGTGTGAAGAAGAACCTGAGGAACTGTTTATCTCCAAGAATTGTTTGAGTGTGTGGGGGTTGGCATGGAGCCGCAACCCCTAAGATAGAGCGTGTAGAGCGTGTGGAAAAAAAAGACATGCAGAGAGGAAGGTTCCGCCGCAAAACGTAGATCAAAGTCCCATATCGAAATGTTCCTAACAGATGTTTGCTCGTTCCTCACCGGGAGGCTCAACAACAGCAGACATAGGGTTCGGTCGGACCTGTGCAGGGAGATCGAGAAACCGCACATACACACACACACACTCCTAAGAATTACCAATCAGTGGTGCTACCTTTGGAACAGGTTGCAGCATTTGATCCTTGGATACTTTCCAGTCTCATTTTCCTGAGAGCCCTGGTTTGATTCGAACCCCACGAAAGGCGACCTTTTGGAGTCCAGCATCTCTGCTCGAAGCCTCCAACATGATTCTGACAAGCCGGTCATAACAGGTCGAAATAAGAAAGAAGGACAGCCCCCACACCGAATAAAACCATCGACCTACCTACTTGGCCCAAATATGATTAGTTAACGTGGGTGTGTGTTTCAGGGGACCCCCCCCCAAAAAAGAGCTTCGGTTTTCTTTCGGTGTTCTTTTACCACATCGGGGTACCCTTCGCCTCACAAAAGACGAGCCCCGCAGATTGATTTGTTGTGCCCTGGAGGAGCCCTGATTTCCGCGTGTGCCAGAGAAAAAATCGACATAATCGACATGCCCCCCGCTTCTCCCAGTTTCGACGTGCCATGTTTGTAGTACGGATGGCTCGCAGATCAGTTCAAATGGTTTTTGCAGATTGGAGCAGAGTTGCTTCCCTACATATTGCAAGCAAATCAGTTGTGACAATTGCAGAGGAGAACCAACATCACGGAATTGTGTTGCGTTTTTTTTTTGGCGGGTACCCTCTGCATTTTTGGTCTACCCTCCCTCCAACAATCATGGAAGCCGATCGGAGGGTTTTGGAAGACTACTTTACTTACGGGGGATCCCCTGTCCACGTCCACTCCCCAAAATGGGTGGTTTGGAGCCTGGTGGTTTGGTTTGCTCCGGCGGTGTTAGAGATGGAAACCACAAGTAAAAACCGCAATGTTGGCAAACATAATACACTCTGTGCCACTAACATGGCAACTGACAGAGGGCCCCTTGAAGAGGAAATCGATCTTCTGGTACCCTTTGCCATGATAGTGGAAGGAAGGGGTAGTTGTTTCGACCCATTAGGTACCCCAGCCCGCGCGTCAGCTCCTATTTTCCTTCCGCGCGTCAGGTACCCCCCATCCCCATCCGCGCGTCAGCTACTATCCCCCTTCCGCGCGTCAGGTACCCCCCATCCCATCTGCGCGTCAGCTACTATCCTCCCTTCCGCGCGTCAGGTATGCGTCAGGCGCCCCCCACTCCCGGTCCACGCGTCAGCCCTTACGCAGCTGCTATTCGCCCTGCCGCGCGTCAGGTACCCCCTGACCTCCCCTCTTCCGCGCGTCAGTTCCCACCCTACTCCCATCCGCGCGTCAGCTACTATTTTCCTTCCGCGCATCAGGTAACCCCCATCCTCATCCGCGCGTCAGCTACTATACCCCTTCCGCGCGTCAGGTACCCCCCACCCCCATCCGCACGTCAGCTACTATCCTCCCTTCCGCGCATCAGGTATCCGCGCGTCAGGTGCGCCCTAGCGTGAGCGTGACACCCCCCACTCCCGATCCGCGCGTCAGCCCTTTCGCGCGGCGTCAGCTGCTATTCACCCCCTGACCGCACGTCAGCTACTATCAGCCCTTCCTCACGTCGTCACTTCTCTATTCGCCTTGCCGCGTGTCAGGTAGAGGTAGGCCCGATTTACTAACCCTTCTTCCGCGCGTCAGGTACCCCCCATCCCCATCCGCGGGCGCGCCCAAGCGTGAGCGACAGGCCCGCGCGTCAGCTACTATTTTCCTTCCGCGCGTCAGGTACCCCCCATCCCCATCCGCGCGTCAGCTACTATCCCCCTTCCGCGCGTCAGGTACCCCCCATCCCCATCCGCGCGTCAGCTACTATCCTCCCTTCCGCGCGTCGCGTCAGGTCCGCGCGTCAGCCCTTACGCAGCTGCTATTCGCCCTGCCGCGCGTCAGGTACCCTGACCTCCCCTCTTCCGCGCGTCAGTTCCCACCCTACTCCCATCCGCGCGTCAGCTACTATTTTCCTTCCGCGCATCAGGTAACCCCCATCCTCATCCGCGCGTCAGCTACTATACCCCTTCCGCGCGTCAGGTACCCCCCACCCCCATCCGCGCGTCAGCTACTATCCTCCCTTCCGCGCATCAGGTATCCGCGCGTCAGGTGCGCCCTAGCGTGAGCGTGGCACCCCCCACTCCCGATCCGCGCGTCAGCCCTTTCGCGCGGCGTCAGCTGCTATTCACCCCCTGACCGCACGTCAGCTACTATCCTCCCTTCCGCGCGTCAGGTATGCGTCAGGCGCCCCCCCGGTCCGCGCGTCAGCCCTTACGCAGCTGCTATTCGCCCTGCCGCGCGTCAGGTACCCTGACCTCCCCTCTTCCGCGCGTCAGTTCCCACCCTACTCCCATCCGCGCGTCAGCTACTATACCCCTTCCGCGCGTCAGGTACCGCCCACCCCCATCCGCGCGTCAGCTACTATCCTCCCTTCCGCGCATCAGGTATCCGCGCGTCAGGTGTGCCCTAGCGTGAGCGTGGCAACCCACACTCCCGATCCGCGCGTCAGCCCTTTGGCGCGGCGTCAGCTGCTATTCACCCCCTGACCGCACGTCAGCTACTATCAGCCCTTCCTCACGGCGTCAGCTTCTCTATTCGCCTTGCCGCGTGTCACGTACCGCCTGACCCGATCTACTAACCCCTCTTCCGCGCGTCAGGTACCCCCCATCCCCATCCGCGCGTCAGCTACTACCATGCCTGTGAGCTACTATGTCAGGTACCCCCGTCAGCCCGTCCGCGCGGCGTCAGCTGCTTTTCGCCCTGCCGTGCGTCAGGTACCCTCTGGCCCGATCCGCGCGTCAGCTACTATCCGCGCGTCAGGTGCCCCGCGCATACCCCGCGTGAGCTACATTCCCGATCCGCGCGTCAGCCCTTCCGCGCGGCGTTAGCTGCTATTTGCTCGCCGCGCGTCAGGTGCCCCCTGACCCGATCCGCGCGTCAGCTACTCTCCCCCCTTCCGCGCGTCAGGTGCCCCGATCCGCGCGTCAGCTATCCCCGTTCCCGAGACAGGGACCCTAGCGCGTAGTGTCAGCTGTTTTCCCTTTTTCGTGTGTGTGAGACCCTATCCCGATCCGCGCGTCAGCTACTGCCCCCCCTTTCCGCGCGTGAGGGGCCCTTTATCCCGATCTGCGCGTCAGCTATACAATCCTCTGTCCGATCCGTGCGTCAGCTACTTTCCCCCTCCCGCCGTTGCATCCCGATCCGCGCGTCAGCCACACTATCCCCGCTTCCGCGCGTCAGGTGCCCCTATGCCCCTTTCTCGCGCGTCAAGCCTTTTTCACACGTCACAGCCCTTGCACGCGTCCTCAGCTACTGTTCGCCCTGCCACACGTCAGGTATCCCCTGACCCGATCACCATCCCCCCTTGCCCCGCTCCGCACGTCAGCTACCATCCCCGCGCGTCAGGACTCCCTACCGATCCGTGCGTCAGCTGCACCCTTCCGCACGTCATCCAAGTCGCGCGTCAGCTAATACCCTCCCTCTCGCGCATTAGGTGCCCCCTGTTTGCTTCCATCTTGATCCGCGTCAGCCTTTCCGCACACAGTCACGTCATCTCCCTCGTCAGGCGTCAGGCCCTTGCCGTGCGTCAGCTACTTTCCCCCTTCGCTGTGTGAGACCCTCCTGTCCCGATCCGCGCGACTATCCCCCCTTTATCGCGATCCGCGCGTCAGCTGCACACCCAGGTCAAGTTCTGCGTGTCGCTGCTATGCCGGGCCCCCTCATCCCGATCCGCGCGTCAGCTCACTCCCCTTTCTACTGCCACAAGGTATCAGGGGTAAGATACCCCCGCCAGTCAGGTGCCCCCGCGCGTCAGGTCGCGCATGAGGTCCCGACCCCCCGTGCGTCTGACTGACTAACTGACTAACTATCTATCAAGTTGACAAACTAGCTAACTTGCAAACTAAGCAACTAACTCAGTTGACTAACTGCCCACCTAACCACCTGACGAACTGACTAAGTAACTAACTAAGTAACTGACTAACTAACCAACCAACTAACCAACAAACTAATTAACTAACTAAGTAACTACCCCGCCACCTCCGCAGTTTCGCGCGTCAGGCGCCGCCTCACCCGATCCCGCCCGTCAAGTACTCCGCCAGGTGCTTTCCACTGACGTTCCCGAACGTCAGGTAGTGCCTAGCCCGATCCCGCGCATGAGCCGGCGCGGCAACTAAACTTCCCAACTTTCTCAGCCTCCGCGCGTCAAGTAGCC